CCTCACCTTTTTCGTCTGTTCCGACAATAATCATGTCCAATCTTTCATCATCAAAGAATTTTAAATCCTTAATTGAAAGATGTTCTTCGGGGTGCTCATTATTTACCAATTGAATACCGGCTATCTCCACAGGTCTAAATCCCGGAGAATTTCGAAACGATTTTGCGTATGTTTTTTTCTTCGCAGTATCCAGAGGAAATCGAAGGACCCACACTTCGGTTTTTTTCGAAAATGTCAATGGTATTAACAAATTTTTTCGGTGGATGCAAGTGAACAAAATTTTCATTGCTTACATGTTGGCAAAAAATCATACTTTGTTGTATTCGATATGTAAAATGTTATGTATTCAACTGTTATCGAATTCTAATTGAATACAGATTTTAGGAAACAGTACAAAACAATTAAACAACTCGATTGAAAGTAAAGTAGCAAATACTTCTATCACGATTTTCACGTCGGACAAGAATACATTTCTGTATTTGACCTCCTCGCTTTCCTGCCCTAATCCTTGAGTGCGATGGTCGTCCATTGAACCGCTTATTAATCCATCAACTATATCAACATATTCATAAGCGACTACGGATTTCGCGACATTATCGGCTGTCAAGGAGGACAGGGCGTTACATCGAGTTGTCAACACGTTGACAAAGGTCCAAAGGGTTTGAGGATAGTTGGAAAGTTTGTTTACGATATGGTAATCGTATGGATATGCTGGTGTCTTCTCTGTAAATGGACGATATTGGGTTGGAGGCGCGAGTGGGAATTCAAAGTTTGGTAGCGACATGAGTGGAAATGTTTCGCTTGTTCCGAAAAATTCTTCCAAGTCACCCGAAGATTCCTTATTGAGAGAGTTCTTTAAATACGCGGCAACCTTGTGAATATCTATTCTAGGAGGCACCTCTGGAATACCGTTTTGTTCAAGCAGCGCTACACTATCGAATTCTTTGCGACAGCATTTCCCATATTAGCCAAACATCTCAATAATTATTATCATAAAAAATGAAGCGATTGAAATCCCACCAAATTGGATCCATTGCTGGAATTCAATAAAATTTGTATATTCGTTATCAACAACATTAAGTAATTTTTCCAAACGTGAAATCAAGCATCCAGTGACAATCACGCAAGAGTGAACAAAAGATTCCAGAAGACCAAGTTCCTGGAATTTTTGCGGCCTTAAATTGATAAGAAATTTTTGACAGAAAGCAGCGAAATCAGATTAGCAGGCTCAATCAATATTTATCTGCTTTTTAAGAAAAGAATCTCTTTACCATTTACTATAACCGACTAACGCGTTTAATTCTAGAAGCAACCTTTCGCAACCGGCACGTACATAATGATGGACATAATCCCGAATCTGTTCAAAAGCTTTCCGACCCTTGTTCTCCCAATCTTTTAAACCCTTAAAAAAACGAACAGTGAACGATACGTTATGATCTCGTCTAACCGATGATAAATTGTAATGTAAAAAAAAAAGATATTTAGATGCATTACTCGTTTTGTTATGCGTCCTTCCATGTATTCGGCTAATATCCTGCTTGGCCTGCCGGTAGCCAGTAGACGGGCGTATTCAGCCGACAATGTTGTTTTTGCTTCCTTACGACCAATCCAAATAAGATCCATACTTAAGTTCGAAACTCGCCAACGACGGCACCTCAAACGATTAATTAGTAACACACTTACTAGTATGATTATCTAACACCTCCTGAAAAATATCAATGAATTTATTGGTTGTAAGTTTTATAGTTTGGTATTCTGCCTCAACCATCTTGACACCATTATATATATAGTCCGTCAAGTGTTTGATGGCCGTATACCTCTGAGATAAAATTCGAATCTCAAATTTTCGTGTGTACAGTAATCCGGTGTTAAAAGTAACTACTAATAATCGATCTGTCAATGGTGTATTAACGGTAGAAGACGTGTGACCATTGTTGGCTCGAATAAGGAGCGTGATAAGGGAGAGGTCGGGTGTGACCGATGACTGTACGATCGTTATATTCTAAGCATTTTTCAAAAAATAGGACATGAATGAAAGATGGAAACATCATCTCAACCATTAGTGTACACTCCCTCACCTTTGCTTTAACATGATGAGATAATGAGATTGGCTGCAAGTTATACACACCGTACACACTGAATTAATGGTGTCTTGCGGTTAGAATGATATCAACAGAATCACTACACAGAGAAATTAAGTACCTCAAATGTAAGTTTCCGTG